AAACAGGTTTCCTTTCACCCTCTTTGACTTTGCTTGCTCTCAGAGTATATGGAAACCTGCCTCCCTTCTTGTTGTCCACATGTTTCTCTTTTTCCTCTATTGAGGCATTAGAGAAGGATTTAAATGGCTTCCCTGTTATTTTTGTAGCACAATGGATCAACCTGTATAATGTAACCTAACCCTTTCCCCCTTGCTTATAGAAAGCCCGTCCCTCCCTCCTCACAGTATCTACTTCTCCACTGTGTCTTTTTCACACAAACAACCTTTCCCTCCGCTGCTTCCTCCATTTATAAAGAATTAGACAGAGTATTAATGGTGCCCATGGCAGGGGCAGATTCAGGCACAGATCCTCTCAAAGGGCTCCATCGACTGGTGTTTACTTAAGGCCAGAGACATTAGCCGCCGCTACTTCAATCTGCTCCTTTCGGCTTCTCAGATTCTGTACTGTAACAAAGTGACCTGCCCGGCACAGTGTATGTTTCAGAGCGTGTGTGTCTGTTACGGTCTGACAGCGCGTGATCATTGACAGCAAGCGTGTAATGACCTAGACTGTCAATGGTGTAACAGCACAAAGGTACAGCCGTGTCAGTCCAACAACGCAAAAGTCCACTAAATGTCACAACAGAGCCAGAATTTACTGCTGGTATTCAAGGCAAATTATCGCTAATTTGAGAGTCCCTTTTGCGCGTTGCGTGCGTAATAATGAAACTGAACCGAAAATGCCTGTCACTGAGTGAGACTGAGATATAACTAACAGGCACTTCGTGCGCACATTTGGTTGAAAATCGTATTCTTCCCTAAACACCATCATGAAACAACAATAATTGATCTGTGTGCAGTAATTGTTCTCGTGGGTGAGGGGAGGGGCCAGGCTGGGTCCTGGGCGAGGCATTTTACTGTAATTTTCTCATTTGTGATGCACATCTATTACCTATCATTAAAGTTGAATGCACAGCAAGCTGTGAACAGCACTAAGGATCACGCTCACATGGAAAGACACAGGCTGAATAAAGGCTGAATTTCAGCAAATGACTCCATGGACTGATCATCTGGGGAATAGACAGAAATAGGGCCTTTAAAGGATCCTTTCATCAAAGCTACATCCTGCCAGCTCCCCCTAGCCATAACCTCATATAAAAGCCACACACACACACTAATGTGCACACACAGACACACAAGTCCTCTTTCAGGAATCAATAATTCAGCTAAAGAGAAGCACATGCTACGCCCCACTGCACTAATCAATAGAAAGCCAAATGTTATTGTTTCATCTCATTCTCTGACTTTCACATTATAATCTGGGCTGACTAGCACATGCTGGACAGCATCAAAGAACTCCATTAAATTAAAATATAATACACACATACAAAGGGGACAAGGGGACCCGAAATTTAGGAGGCGCCTCACTTTATCCTGGTGTGCTGTGATGCTAGTGTTTGTTCCTTTTGTCACAATATTTCTATTAGTTGCAAGTGAACACAGATGTCCTATAAAGATTCTATGCATAAACTCAACAAATGAGTCATATAACAGAGGTGACAGAAAGAATGGTAACAATTTTTCTCAGAGTTCTGCCTCCCCCAAACTGCATGGTCTCTTGGGAGACTGAGGCTATTTATTGATTACACAGACTTGTATGATTAGGGAGTGAAGGAAGACTACTGTGTATCCATAAAGAGAAGCTTGCAAGGAATTTGTATGCACTCTATGTGCGTGCAAATGCTTAGCCAAAGAGAGTGTCATGTGATTTTGTCAAGTGGTGTGAACTTGCCAGCCAAGGCCCCTCTCCCCTCTCTGTAATCGAGCTATCAATGATCATTAATGAGAGCGTGAGATAGCTCTCCACAGCCCTCTTGGCCACACTGCCGAATGCTCTGGCCTCTCTCCCAGGCTTCCTTTCTCCTATTGACCCCATCTGTGGCTCTGCCATACGCGCCCTAAAGGCCACTAGCCACACTAACTAACCGTGAAAATGAATATGAACGTCAGCTGCTTAGCTATACGCGGAAATGCGCCCTTCCGTTGCTCCGCACACTCCACTTTTGGTCTCGTTTGCACGACACAGAACCCTAGCAGCTCGCTCAAGGATGCATCAATCGCTGACGGTGGCAAGATCGGATCTGTGCTGACCTTGGGAGTGAACTGCAACACAGGCGATGGAGCAAAGGGGCCCTGTTGCAACAAAGGAGGAGAAGTAGGGAAGACAGAAAGAAGGGAAAAGAAAAGTAGAAAGGAGGGAGGGATGAACGGACAGGGAATTGAGGGGCATGCTTTGATTGAGAGGCTCCCAAGATGAGCAACTCTGAGATATGAGAAAGGGGAGGGAGGAAGAGGGGGATGATGGAAGGGGTAGGGGAGGGTGGTGTGAGGGAGAGGGAAGCCATATGGCAGCAGTACAAATGTATTAAACTATAAATCAGGGGGAAAGCTAGTGGACTGCCAGGTGGGGCCACAGTCAGGTCCTCCCAGCTGGAGGTGCAATGGTTCACAATGCAGTTCAGCACGGAAAAGGATGAAAGCATCACTGGTATTTTGCCTTTTTAAACTTTATAATTTTCCCTTGCATATATTTCTTAAACACATTTTATTTCTCTTTTTATTTCCTGGAAATAAATGGGGTGAAAGTGGCACATTGATTCTTCCAGCTGAGCGTTTGAAAGAATGCCAAAAAACAGCTCTCGCTTGAAAAGACCACAAAAATAAAATATATTTTTATGCTTTTACACTGGCAGCTGCTATGATCCATCCAGTCTGTTCTTGTAGACACGAGCTCACTTGGGGCAGTTTCTTTAAATTTACTTAAATTATTACTCCACACTTTAAATTAACCTCGAACATCCAGTGGGACTCACGGAGAGCAGATTTAATTTTTCAGGTCAAGGGTTAAAAGTAAAGGTCACTGTGATTTTACAAAACATGCTAACCAGATTTCTGTTTGACCAGAAATCTAAAACTCAGGCATAAATTACACCTAAATTTTACACAAACATCTTATGAAATAAATAATGAGGGATAACAATCATTGTTAAAAGACAGACTAAGACTGAGATATACAAATATAAAAAATGACTATATAGAATTTCTGTTTGAGTAAAGAGGTTTAACAAAAGTACTGCATTACCCCTTTTTGAGATCACAATCATATTTTAAATATGAGGACAATTTTTAATACTCAGATACAAATCTTTTGCATTTCATTCAGGAACCCATGGACATCACAAAATGCTGTGGTTCCTCCCTTGAGAAGCTGTGCAAGGCCTTTACTGTTGCTTGTTTGTGAGCTCTCTGCATTCAGTTTTGTATTTAATAACTGAAAAGCGTGCTCTTTTGTGTTGAGATCAGATGACTGACTTGGACAAGAAGAAGAATATCCGTTTGTAGACCCACCGAACTGTGTCTCTTGAACTAAGCCCAGCACTTAGAGAGTGGCTCAAAGAGTTGGCAGTTCGTCTTGTAACCGGAAGGTTGCCGGTTCGAGCCCCGGCTCGGACAGTCTCGGTCATTGTGTCCATGGGCAAGACACTACACCTACTGCCTGCTGGTGATGGCCAGAGGGGCCGATGGCGCGATATGGCAGCCTCGCTTCTGTCAGTCTGCCCCAGGGCAGCTGTGGCTACAACTGTAGCTTGCCTCCACCAGTGTGTGAATGTGAGAGTGAATGAATAGTGGAATTGTACAGTGCTTTGAGGGCCCAGAAAAGCGCTATATAAATGCAATCCATTATCAAAATATTTCTATATACAGCTGATTCAGTTCTATTGGCGAACACCTTGAATCGATTTAAAATCCACTGTGGCGGTGCACACGCCCACAATTATAAAGAGGTGTCATTGCCCAAATATTTAAACTGCCATTGCGCTCTGTAGTGCAACTGTGAAGCAGTAATCCATATTTTGATAACATTTAAAAGTCAGTAATCAAGGCTGAAGAAAATATTAAATATGCCACTGGCAACGTCAAGTACTCTCGGGGGACACATTTGGGTTGGCAGTTTAAAAAAGTCCATCATATCAATCATATTCGATTGCCACATAAAAAATAAATAGTTAAAAATAACAAAATTTCTGTGTTTTCTTTATAATAATCATATCAGATAAATTCACGGTTTAATAACCAAATGAAATGCAAAGTAATTCTATTGAAAGTTCAACTGTACACTTGCAGCTCTTTCACCGATGTGCATCACACTGTCACAATAATGGACAAAAATTAGTGTTACACATATGGTATAAAAACAAATAGAGTAATCCCCAAAAGGCTTCCATTTTAATCCCTTGATGATGTCTGGGTAGTGTGCCCAGCCAGTGTCCTGGCAGCCATCAGGGCCCAAGCCTGGGCGTCCATCCCAGAGGCACTGATGCATACTATAACTGGAACAAACACAGGCGGCCGTCCTCATGCCTGCTCTGTGTCACAGCCGTACCACTGCCACAGAATAAAAGGGTTCATAACCCATTTTTCTCATCTTTGCAGAAATCTGGACATTTATGCTGTTTAGAGAATTTAAAGTGAGCTACATTAATTAATAAATGTTTAGAATCTTTCATTTGCTTAATCTATAGTGGCACAATAAGAGATTCCGCTTCATAAAATTCCCCTGAATCTGCTAAACATATTATTTAACATGTTACGCTTCAGAGCATCTCTTTAGGAGCTCAGCAGTAGGCAGATTAAGTATAGATGGAGGTTACTGGACAGCTCCTGGTTACGCTCTGCTAGGCAGAAGAGTAGACCAAAGCCTTGATCCCTGATCCTTGATCATTCACTCTGTGACATATATGCACACATACATACAGACACACACACACACACGGAGCGGCATAAACATCCGAACTCCAATGAGGTTCTTGACATCACAACCATCGCAGCCAAGGCCAACTATCCACCAAATCCCATCTCCACTCAGAGATTGGGGGGGGGGATGAGGAAGAGTGGGAGGGATACAGGACAAGAGTGTAGGAGTAAATGAGAAATGAAAGAAGAGCAGAAGAGCAGCATACCTTGGTCTGGAGATAGTGGGGGTAGTAGTAGGTGTACTGAGGGTACATTGGCTGCTGCTCCAATCGCTTGCCCATGTAGCTGGAATCCTTAGCACTGAGGCAGGGAATGGTGACACGGGGGCGGGAGCTGCCAAGTAGCTAGCAATGGGATAGAGGCAATGAAGGGACTGTGCAATTCCTGTCTTTGCTATCCGCACCGCTGTGTCACTCGCTGATCCCTCCAGGGAGAAAGCAGGGTTTGCGTATCGGACAGTGGCTGGGAGAAGGGCTGCCTCTGATGAGGAAGCTCCTGACGAACTGTGTCTTACCGGTCCAGGGAATCAGTACCGAGGCAGATGCTCACTCAGTCTCACACTCTTGGATCAATGCAAATATTTCCACAAGTGCTAGAAGCAAGACAGGCGCGTTTTACAGAGGCTGCTGTAGGATATTAACGCCTAACAAGGGTGAGGTAGAGGAAGAAGAGGAAAGAGAAGACGCGAGGAGGTGCAGGTGGCAGTAGCTCTGGCAGTCCAATAAATGTTGGAAAATGGGAGAAGAGGAGGAGGAGGAGAGGAGGAGGAAAGGAATGGTAAGGAAAACGGGAAAGGACGTATACGTTCACTTCTCTATTTAAGCTGTTTCACTCCAGTCTTTTGCCTGGGCTTTAATCTGTCTCTCTCTCTCTCCCAAACACTGTGAATCTGACTCTCTCTCTAGCTGCCCCTCTCGCTCTCTCTTTCCCTCTCTTACATATACGCGCACACACACACACTTTCTCTCTTGCCTCTGTCTGATCCGACGATGGCTGCGTGCTGTCCTGTTTGACAGAGGGGAGATATCCTCAGCGCCGTCAGATGCACTTTGTGCAAGGAGCAGAGTCACAACACGAGAGCTGAACACAGACACGCAAAGCAATTTCAGTCCGTAACGGTTGAGCCAGCGGGAGGACAGATAACAGAGCAAAGATCCCAGTTTCTAAATGATGTGACACAAGCATATATTTTTTTTTTTATAAAATCCACCGGTTGGTTATTCAATCCACTGAGTTCCAGCTAGTAGATGAGTGAAAAAAGCCCCCACAGTGACAGTGTCCCGGGTGCCCAGTGGAGAAGGAGTCCCTCGTCTGCGATCCTCCCTCTTTCTGCTCTTGTAAAATGTGTTCCTTATTTCTTCCTTGGCTCTCTCACTCCTCTAAGCACCCTGCCTCATTCTCTTTCTCTCTGTCACACAGCTGCTCTCTCTCTCTCGCGTGCGCTTTCTCTATTACACAGTCTCTCAGCCTCTCTCTCTCCCTGTCTCTCTCTCGCTCTCCTTCTACTCCACACTGACAGGGTGGTAAAGGGGGCTCGTCCGAGGTTGCGAGCGGAGCAAACTGCCCTCCTCCTTCTCCAGCCCAGCTGGTGGGAGGGTCTTGAGCAGATCTGTGCAAGAGAGCGATCCAGACACAGACCAGCGGGCTGCAGCGTTTCCACAACCTGGGAGAACGCAGGGAATAGGAGTGGAGACGAGCGGGGATGGCGCCAGCGCGAGCAGTCGATTCCCCCTACTGGCTACACAAGGAGCTACCGCCTGGAATACTGTGTCTTCACACAGATGCTTTCGCTTCCCAATCTTAGCCGATTAAATTCAAAAACCAGTTATGTTCAATAAATGACTCCACACGTGTATCTGTTCAGAATCTAAAAGTATATCTGAGCTATGTGTTAACTATAGACTAGGTAATTTCTGTTGTAGAAAATGCAAATAAAAACAAAAATAAAAGACAAGTTTTAGAAACCAATTTAAAAATATGTGTTTATATATATATATTTTACTTTCTTTAATTATAGGTCTTATTTGGAATTTCACAGCACTTAAGATAATCCTGGGACAAAGCAATGTAACTTCATAATCTCTTTTTAACAAATCATTAGTTTTTAGGGACTGAAGGCAGTTTTGAGTGTAAAATATTCCCCCAATCCTGCTAAATATGCTCCCCTGAGTCCCACGTGTTTGTTGTATAATTTACAAACTGTTTCTGGATTACTTGAAGTCCTGTTTACATACATGCTTGTTTATCTCAGATCCATCCTGCTGTAGTACATGTAGAGTGTGGGCTTGCTGAAATGAGCATTTTCCCTGAAAAAAAATGTTGCATTGGAAGATATGTTGCTCCTGAAACTATATACTTCATTCAGCTTTAATGGTGCCTTCACAGATGCCAAATTCATGCACACTCAGGCACTATTTAAACACTGTGAATGTTGACTTTTTAACAGTGTCGTGATTGCAGGTCAGATGGATCATCTTGTCTTTGGTATTTTTGCTCTTTTGTCGCTCTTCTTTTGCCGATTTATCTCAACTTTTTTTTTAATGAGTTGATGATATTCAAGATTCAACATATGATTTAGTTTTTTCGTTTTAATAATGGTTACACACCATCCTGAAACACTTGTATGTCATCTCGCACCCTCTGACTAAACAATGAGTAATTATCGTGCCAAGTGAAAGACTCCAGTGAAACCCGCTTCCTGTGCAGCATTAAATCTCTTTTGATTGACCGTGACCAAAAACATCACAAAAAGAGCATTCGGTCAATTCGGAGAGCGTTTGCCTGATCACAAGCAACCGCAGCTCCAATCACATCTGCAAACAAGATTAAACACAGTGCTTATGAAGTCCTACGTCTTTTTCGTCACACACACGTCCACAAGAATGAACAGCAACAGACTGAAAGTTCTCGAGAGTATCTCGATGACGCTGAGGCCACAAGTTCAGGAGCCTCATTTTTCACTCAATTATCAAATCAGCTTGGGTTTCGTTTAAATTACCTGCCATGAGAACTGAAGAAAACTGCAGCCAAAAAGTACAACATGAAATTACTGGACTGAAAACAATTACATTTGGGCAATTTCCACATCTGAAAATAGACCCCTGACTTTGATGAGTTTAGTTTTGCATTTCATCTGTTCCACTTCAGAGCGTTACACAAAAACCCACGAGGCTGATGTCTCCTTCTCAAAAAATAATAGCCTAATTACAAATGTCTAGTGCAGTAACACACTCAAGATAAGTGATTTCAGCTGTAAAACAAAACCAAAAAAAGAATTCACAACGCAGTATATAATAAAAATTAATTCAGCCACATCTGTATGTCACATATTGTAAGTTACAATGGAATCTGTGTTTGCGTAAATCAGACACAGGAAATTGAATTATTGATAACACTTTGCAGATCATATTTAAATAATATGGTGTAAATGTCACTTTTCCCCCCCTTTCTCCAGACTAAATCTATACCAGCAGAAGAATCTCATGGACCAAAGGAAAGCACAGAGAGAAAGGGCACCTTTTTCAGACATGGTGAAGCAAATACAATTATCAGATAGGTCACTTTTATCTGAAGGAAAAGAGTTGAGGCTGATATTGATTGTGGATTACCAGATTAACAGTCTTTGGTTCAACTGGGCACAAACTCTGAGCAACTGTGGAAAGATCTACTGTACAGAACACAGAGGAAGACAGGAAATCGGCCAACGAAGAAAGTGGCTAAAGAGAGGATACAAGGGAAAATAAGAGGAAGCAGCACGAAAAATATTCATGTGTTTTCATACAGGAGTGTGGCACTGTTTGCATTTCATACATAAGGAGCATCGTTTTTGTATTTTCACTCTAAAAGCCTCATTTGAATTTACTGACGATGTCTTTTTGGTCCTACATTTTATCCAGATATGTTACAAACTGTTTATTTAGTGTGTTTATCACACATGGCATCCACATTTTCTCCAGAAAAGCAGGGATGATTAGTAGAGTCTGATTAGTTTATCACGAGACTGATTTAAGCTACATTTAATCTATCAGTTTCGATATTTAAAAGGACCGATAAATGAAAATTTTAAAAAAGAAAGATGAGACGAGAGACACCATTCAACCATGTTACGAGTCTTGATGTAACATAGTTTGTCCACCAGAGGGCACTGTGGACGTTCCCTGTTAGCATTGTGTTTGGAATGCCACAAACAAGCATAGGCAGACATACACAAAACAACAAAAGAAACAAATGTGCCTTTGGAAAAGAAACCTGATATATATTGAAAATCATATTCTCTAAAATTGTCAAATATAGCTTTAAAAGAAAATCCTACGTGAATCAGACTCAGTGTTCTGATCAGGCCATCGGTGGGACCTTTGTCATTTTATTTGAAAAATTACATAGATGGTTAATCATCTATAACGAATTTAATGTGACTGTCAATCAGCCATTATTGGTCAATAATATTTTATTATTTTTTTGTGTCATATATGATGATAAACGAAATATTGTCGGTAGAACATAATACATAAAGAACAACATCCATGCTATTTAATGTCACATTGGGCTGAGAGGAATGTCAAATATAAGCATGAAAAAAATATTTTGTTCCATTAAAAAAAAAACTAACTATTATGATTAAACTGTAATAAAAATGCCTGCTAGCATTTGTACTTAATACTTTTAGTAAGAGAGAACGATATTTTTGCTCATATTATGTAATATTTAGTATTATTATGACAAAAAAGGGTTTCTCGTTTTCTAAAATTTACTGAAATTAGTCAAGAGAGAATGGAAACACAGGAGAGTACCGTTACACAGACACTGGTCAGCTAAATCATCAATATTAATTGGTTCAACCATTAAGAATTAAAAGCTGGGAACTGAGACTTGACTCTTGAAACTAAAGAAGTTGACCTGTGGCCCTACAGACAACACTAGAAACTCTTGAGAACTGGCTGACATGAACTTTCAGCCTTTACCCATGAACTGGCAGAGGTTAGTTTATGAAGGCAATTTAACATTAAGTAACTGGAGAGCTGTACTACATCCTGCATGTAAATAAATGTCAGCACTGTGTCTCATTCCATTGAAGCAGACCTTGAAGACTCTAAGAGCGTTTTGCCTTGATGGTGATGGAAGTGTTCTGGTCTGAATCAGTGAGACTGGCGTCACAGAGAAGTGATATGCAGCCAAATATTTCATGAAGAGGGGGAAAAAAGAGCAAGTGTGTTTGTCTCTGTTCCTCTATCAATAATACTGCTGTAAGAAAAAGGTTTTTTTATTCAAAATGAGAACATGAGGACAACAGAGAGGAAATACATAAATTTCCACCAACATTCCTATTTTTGTAACCTCCTTTGTAAACTATTAGACCCTTGAGTAGGCCACGCAGCAAGGTGGCACTGAGTGTTCTTCACAGTGATGGAAAACTCTGATTTACAAGCTGTTCAACACAATGAAACCAAAATTGGCTCTCTACTTGGACAGACACTTGAAAGCCTACACTGAAAAAAAGCAACAAACTTCTGCAGCCAGGTCTGTAAGCATTTTTAAAAAACAAGGCAGTAGCCATCTGCTGCTATTCTTTTTCTTTAGGCCTTCTTTTGATTCTTGTTGATTAACGTTCTAAATTGAGAGCATAAGTGAGTCATTCACACGGCAAAAATAGAGGAAGAGGAAGACAGCTGAGGGTGTATCATGCCCCTGAAGGTGTTAAGTAGTTACAACCCTGTTCAAAGGATTTAGTCTAGTAAAAGAAAACCATTGCATGATCACACTGTGGCTTAGGGACACAGCTCGAAGGTTTTAGTGTTATTTTTATCCTTCATTTAACTGAATCAGTCAAATTCCTACTTAGCAAGTCTGAACAAATATCAAAGAAAGCTTTTATGCAACATAGTTTAATTCTATTAGAATCCATGGATTCTTCTGAAGAGAAACAGAAAAACATTACGTTTCCATTGAAAAACAATTCCTAGAAAGTCCAGAACCTTCCCACTCTACTGCCTGACCCCACCCCGAGGGTCACTACTGGCCTTCTTCAAGCTGCTGAGGAAACCAAGAGGCTTTGTTTCCTGTGGTTCACTCGACAGCTCTGCCGTGGGCGTTTCCCAAAAATGACCAGATGCATGGAATTCAAAGGAAGACTAGCACTGTGCCAGGAGCGCGGGGGAGCCTTAAATGAAGGCGGGAAAGGGGAGAAGAGGGAAGCAGGACATGGTACAGTATTCCTGGAAAAATCCCTTTGCTTTTGGCTACGGTTCTACTGGATGACACGCAATCATTCATCTGACATCGTTCGTGTAAACAATGCAGCATGACTACCAGCTTCTGTGGGGTATTCTGTTCAGCATAAAGTGAAAGTGAAAATAGTTGATGTGCACATGTTGTTGGAAGAAGTGTTTCTGTCATGGATTATCGGAAAGATCCCAAAAACTGTTTCCATTATTTTTAACCTCCTAGGACCTGGCGTCCACATATTTGGACATCACATTTTGGGTTATTTAGACCAAAATACTCCATTTTGCTCTACAGGGGCCTG